TTAGTCCACATAAACTCAGAAAATAATGAGACGAACCAGATTTATAATTTACAATAATGACAATTCTAACAATGTTTCTTCTGTTTTCAAACATTTAAGAAAATCCGGTGCCACAAATTACGTCGTACATAATACACAATTTATTGCTGTAATTTGTGATAAATTGCAATTTGATTGTCTATATGTGTGACCTCATCTCTATCCATAATGCTATTCCTACCTGAGTTCAGAATCAAGGCAGGCAATTGGAGCAACGAGGTGATATGACAGCAAGATTGAACCCCAGCGCAAACAGGGATCACAATTCAAACCGGCACCTGGCGCGCCATCAAACTGTTCTCTCGAATTGTTCTGTTATATAACAACACATCAGATATGATGTACAAACAAACTCCTATTTATGATGTACAAACAGCAGCCAGTTTATGGCGTAGAAAACATCGGCCATTTTATGGCGTAAAGACAATGACCATTTATGTCATGCGGACAACGGTCAGTTTATGACATACAGAAAACAGCCAGTTTATGGTTTACAGACAATGGTCAGTTTATGGCGTGAAGACAACGGCCAGTTTATGACATAAAAACAATAGCTATTTTATGGCGTGCAGACAACGGCCAGTTTATGACGTAGAAACAACAGCAAGTTTATGGCATACAGACATCGGCCAGTTTATTGCGTAAAACCAACTGCTAGTTTATGGTAAACAGATAATGAACAGTTTATGGCGTAAAAAAGCTAGTTTTTGGCGTACATAAAATGACCGGCATACGACATACAGACATCGGCCAGTTTATGGCGTACAAAACAACAGCTAGTTTATGGCGTGCAGACAACCGCCAGTTTATGGCGTAAAAACAACAGCCGTTTAACGGCGTACAGAAAATTGCCAGGTTAAGGCATACTGACAATGGTCAGTTTATGGCGTACAGACAACGGCCAGTTTATGGCGTACAGACAATGGCCAGTTTAATACGTACGAACAGAAATCAGTTGATGCCACAGCAACAACAGACAGGCTATTTTGTACAAACATCAGCCTGTTTATTATGCACAAAACAATAGACAGTCTGTTGATGCATTACTAACATTTGGCAGGCGATGAAACAGCTCTGATTACCAAGAAATAAAGCACATGTGCGTCAACTTTGCTTCTAATCTTTTGGTAAGAATATCTCCACTATGGTAATATTTTAACGCTTCCCAAAGAATCCATATCTCTCAGCCAATCTTGATCGTCAGCTGGAACCATCTCCGCTGATCACAAACGATAAACACGACTGCACGACACAAGTTAGAAGCAAGATATCGTAATCATTTTCGAGAATCTTGCATGGTTGGTTCTGGTGTCAACAGCCGCAGTTAGTCCCGCCAAGACCTAACTGCAGCGTCAGCCGAATTTATGGCCGCCTCCGTCTTACAATGGCTTCGATTTGAGCTACGAAAATTTATGGCACTGACTTGAGCCACGTGGGCTCTTCTGATATTGGGAAAGACGTAATTTATGGCCGTGACTATGCGACTGCAGTGATTTTTTTTCGGATAAGTTTGGGTCGTTTGTAGGTGATTGCGCTGTGATCGCGGCGTGGACACGTCCTCGGGACGCGTTATTGTCACGTGTAGGCGACGACGCCGGTGACAGGAAAGATAGGAAATTGTCTGGAAGTTGCTGCCTAACTCGGCCAAGAACTCGTGTTAAGGCCTTCAGTATTTTCAAGAGTTCTAACTTGTACGGAGGAAGCTCACTGAATGCACTTTCTTACTTCCTTACTTACTGAATAAACTTTCTTGCAGGAAAATCTGATTTTTATTTGCAGCATTCGTGATTTTTCCACTTATCAAAGAAGCTATGAATTTAGATGAATCACTTACAGAATAATCAATTTAGGTTAGATTGTCAAACAAATAAGCATGATGAAAACGTAATATTATGGTTATAATCCTCTCAAACATTTTGACTTATCATGTTAATTGTCAACCTAGTGTAAATAATAATGAAAATGCATACTGATTTCAAACATCTCACAAACGGGAACAAAAGGTAAAATTTAATAAAACTCTTTGGAATTTAAGATTTAATTCCCTCGCATTAAGTTTCTAAACGAGTACAAACTCCCCCAAAACTAGAATGAGTTCCTTCTTGTGCTATACGAAATTAAGGGGTGCAGAAAAAGATCGAGTTGTGCTTTATTGGGTTGAGATTGATGAGGAAACTGCCGGTGACACCAGGGTTATTGCCTTAGTTGGTCGATAATTGAATCAGTTACCTCCTAATTAATTCATTTAGTGGATTACTAATTCAGTTGGTCTGCGACAAGATCGGCGAAGGATTCTATATAAGTCGAGTACATATTGAAAAAGAGTTAAGCCTTAAAAAAAGCCCGGTTCAGCATCGCGGACCGTGGATGAACCCGGTCTCAAATAATTGAATTTTCAAGTGCTCCAACAAAATGCAATGAAATTTATAATATAAGTTCTCAGATGTATAAGCATATTATTTAACACGTCTCTTCGACTTCAAGGAATCCCTTACCATGCAGATCGGGCGGTCAAAGTTTCCAAGCCTTTTCTCTTTCCCGCGCTCACAAAATACCAGGGATATGAGCTTCCACAGGATAAAAATTTTATAGTGGCAGTCAGCTGCGAAATGGAACTGAATAGAATCTCAATTGGATTCCCTTGCAATCATGAACAAGACTGGATCATCTCAGGATTGGCGGGAGAGGCTCGAACTCCCACTTACCACGGGCATAGCTTTTAGATATCGGGCGAGGCGCCAGCTAGGAGCAGAGCGAAGTAATCATCGCTGATGAGGGTAATGCTGTTGATGAGGGTAATGTTGTTGATGAGGGTAATGTTGTTGATGAGGGTAATGTTGTTGATGAAGGTAATGTTGTTGATGAGGGTAATGTTGTTGATGAGGTTAATGTTGTTGATGAGGGTAATGTTTTTGATGAGAGTTATGTTGTTGATTGATGATTCAGGGACTATTGCATGATGATTAGCGTAATATTACTGATGATGGAAATATTGCAGATGAGGGTTGATGGAAATTGATAGCAATCTCTGCATCGTGATGCTCGTTGAAGGGAGCTTATTCGGCCCTCATTGTTTTTATTCAAGTAATTACTTTCATCATTTCCCCTAAGACTTACATATTTTGGTAATTTATGCCTATAAAAATAGTGAAATGACTTGGAATTTTCAGCAAAAATGATTACAGATCTAGCAGAGGCGCAATAATAGAGTATGAAATGTTAGAATTTTCAATTTCCAGACATAATCATGCTGGGAAACTTCCCCTCGCAACTAGAGAACAAACATCCATTTGCTTCAGTCTTGCGTCGTCTTGAAATGAATAAACTGTGGTGAGGGTTGTGCTGTTTCTGCAGTAAAGAAAGAAACACGAAAGGAAAAACAAAAAAATTACATAATCAAGCAAGATCAACCATGCAGAAGGAAAATACCGCCATTCGCTAGAGCAAAATACTCTTACTCAACTACAAATATTTTCAACCCGGCATTGAGGCAACTCTCAAACAGTGTCTGTAATCCTGTCGAACTGTTTCCACTTCCTCAAAATTCCAGCATGTATTGTAACCTAACTTCGTAAAACAGATGCTTGTTTCAATTGCAACTAACTCATTTTTACAAATCATCAGTTAATATGTATTAGTACTGGGTAAACTCAGATAATCATTGTTTGACGCTATTTAATTAATGAGAATGATTACATAGGAACATGGTTTTTTAATGTTTATATAGTGCTCGAAATATCTACTGTACCTTGATTAAGACTTCATAGTTAACTGATAATCCGAAGAAACTGCACCAAGCACTGCGATGTCGGTTGGTCTTGAGAGACCAAAAAGCCACTGAGTTAATGTTAGCTGTTAAATAAAGACCCCAGACGAATCCCAACGTCCGTCGTGAACGAATTTCTAGCAGACACGCACGGCTAATAGACCGTGCGAACCGCGGACGGTTCTGCGGAGTGAACCACGGACCATCCCGTCCAGCGCCGTCACGAGTCAAGTGAACCGAAATTCAATAGATGGTGAACCGAAGTCAAGTGAACCAAAATTAAGGTTGGTGAGCTGACAGCAGATTTTTTAATACAATGAACACTATATATTCAATTTGAAATGCGATATGTATTTAATATATTATATATATATATATATATTATATTATATATATATTTAATAGATTTTTCATATAGGTATTTAATATTTTGCTTCTGGTATTATTTTTGAAAGTGAAATATTGTCAGCACGACACGTGTTTATTTGGTATTCAGTACGATATTCAGTTTGGTCGTAGGAGACCAAAAATCATTATCGACATAAAATCAAAATTAAAGAGCTATAAAATAGCAATTGCCGTAAACATTTTCTTGGAAAACAGGACGTGTTCAGTACACAAGTTCAAATATGCGCCATAAACGTTGCAGTTTTCTGAAGACTCTTTCCATAAATTCAAAGAAAATAAAAAACGCCGTAAATGTGATACATATTGGAATCCTGTTAATTACAATGACTTGAATCACTCACCACTCGTTTGTTTAACGCTTTACTATCAGCAGCAACTCAGAATTGTTCGATCGTTTGGTTTGAAATTTGAAAACCATCTCAATTGGTACAGGACCGCTCACATCCTTGCTGCTCTTGCGTGGTCAGTGGAATTTAATACTGAACAGAAGCCGGTATGGAATAGAAGGAAGATAGGGTCTAGCTATACTGTGGGTCTAGTCTGCTGCATTGGACCGTGATAGAGAGCAAGCAGACCCAAGCAGCGCGTCTTTGTTGCGTGAGCTGCCATAGCGAGGATTGTTTGTTCATCAACCGATCTCTACCCGTCGGCTGGATCCTTGGAACCCATTTGCGGAGACTCTAAGTGAAAAATCTGGTAAAAAATCTGCTTTTCACGTCTCTTATTGGCCTGCTGATTCAAAGCAAAACCTGAAATTTGACCTGAAAGTGCATGCAAATTCATAACTATGAATTTTCAAAATGATGAATTGTTGATGTGGCACATGCTCGAGTTATCGCTGTTCAGCAAGTCTACGTAACAATTTTATGATCATATAGTCGAAAACCGGTACATGTAAAGAAATGCGGTGATTCTTACAATGAATTATGATAATTGCGCATCCGGGAAGTCTTTTTACGCTTGAACGGTAATGAGTAACAATTTATTTGCCTTAATTTATTTTTAAAAGACGTGCTTATAGCCCCAATTAAGTTGGAATAAACAACAATATTTTTCGGTCAAAAATTCAAGCACTTGTTTTCAAAAGGAATCAATAATTGCAGTGTGACAGACCACAGACGCAATCTTCACCTCCCCTCTGGGCCTTTGCCCCCCCCCCACTGGGCCTTCACCTTCCCTCTGAGCCTTCACCTCCCTCTGAGCCTTCACCTCCCCTCTGGGCCTTCACCTCCCCTCTGAGCCTTCACCTCCTTTCTGGGCCTTCACCTCCCCTCTGGCCCTTCACCTCCCCTCTGGGACCTTCACCTCCTTTCTGGGCCTACACCTCCCCTCTGAGCCTTCAAATCCTCCCTGGGCCTTCACCACACCTCTGGGCCTTCACCTCCCCTCTGAGATTTCAACTCCTTTCTGGGCCTTCACCTCCCCTCTGGGCCTTCACCTCCCTTCTGGGCCTTCACCTCCCCTCTGGGCCTTCACCTCCTCTCTGGGACTTCACCTCCCCTCTGGGCCTTCAACTCCCCTCTGGGCCTTCACCTCCCCTCTGGGCCTTCACCTCCCTTCTGGGCCTTCATCTCCCCTCTGGGCCTTCACCTCCCCTCTGGGCCTTCACCTCCCCTCTGGGCCTCTACCTCCCCTCTGGGCCTTCACCTCCCCTCTGGGCCTTCACCTCCCCTCTGAGCCTTCACCTCCTTTCTGGGCCTTCACCTCCCCTCTGAACCTTCACCTCCCCTCTGAGCCTTCACCTGCCTCTGAGCCTTCACCTCCCCTCTGGGCCTTCACCTCCCCTCTGAGCCTTCAACTCCTCCCTGGGCCTTCACCACACCTCTGGGCCTTCACCTCCCCTCTGGGCCTTCAACTCCTTTCTGGGCCTTCACCTCCCCTCTGGGCCTTCACCTCCCTTCTGGGCCTTCGCCTCCCCTCTGGGCCTTCACCTCCCCTCTGGGCCTTCACCTCCACTCTGGGCCTTCAACTCCCCTCTGGGCCTTCACCACACCTCTGGGCCTTCACATTCTCTCTGGGCCTTCACCACACCTCTGGGCCTTCAACTCCTCCCTGGGCCTTCACCACACCTCTGGGCCTTCACCTCCCCTCTGGGCCTCTAACTCCCTTCTGAGCCTTCTCCTCCTTTCTGGGCCTTCACCTCCCCTCTGGGCCTTCACCTCCCCTCTGGGCCTTCACCTCCCCTCTGGGCCTTCACCTCCCCTCTGGGCCTTCAACTCCACCCTGGGCCTTCACCACATCTCTGGGCCTTCACATTCTCTCTGGGCCTTCACCTCCCCTCTGGGCCTTCACCGTCACACTGGGCTTTGCAGGCTTCTATTGCACGATGACGCGCCGGGATGCGCTGACGAGGGCGATTAATCAACAGGTTCGCTGGTGCGCTAATTGAATTAGAGGAAGAATTCATCACTGCTTCAACGAGATGTCAAATAGAATTCAAAGTTAATATTACATATAGCTTATGAGTGATCATTTTGCAGGCGATGAATGGCCGGTTCCTGCACAATATAGAATGTATTGAGAAGTGTAGGAATGCCCATGGGTAAGTCTATTTGGCTAGGACACAAGAGCTTGAATATCGGCTACGGCAAAGCCGAGCAAAAAATTGTGAGCAGAATAAATTGACTTCCTTTATTGCAGTGAAATTTTTCGTTCTCCATCCGTTGATCCGATTAGTAAATCGAAACCGGTCTCGAAAAATGAAAAAACATAATTGAATCGTACATGAAATTGATATAAAAATTTACTTGGTTTTAGTTGTCACTAAAATTTCATCTATTTTGACAGACCTTGTCCATTATGTAATGATTTCAATTATCTCAAATGTATCAATGATTTAATATTTCTGATGTTCGAATTCAAGTGCATCTAGGGATTCAGATTCTATCGGTCTATATTTTCAGAACATTAATATAATTAAGTTAGACTGAATTTAGTGTCCATCACCTAATTAACTGATTGCGTATACAGCCAATTGAGCACGATCGACTGAGATTTCTGGTCGAGGGAAGCTCTGAAGAACTGAGATGAGATTCTTAAGAGATTTTCGCGAGGCGGGATTTGTAGAAGTGGAAGCGTCTCTCTCGAGTCTGAAAAATGAAGAGGCTAATGACAGCGTTTAGAGTTCGCTGAGTCCGGACGTCTTTATAAAGAATGGAACAGAAGAGCTGGCAATAGCCGTGCGACTTCCCTGAAAAAGGCTCGCCAAACTTCGATGGATGAACTTTTGAAACCGGGAATTGAGCCTGGAAATTATTTCGGAAAGTTTCGACACCTGAAAAATTAGAACAGAAACGAGTACGTGGCTGAAAAAGTCAGTTGCGAATGGAAAAGTTAGGCGAAGGAAGAAAAAGCAGTTTTTTTATGTAACGGCAATGATCTTGGGAAAAGGTTAGGAACGAGATAAAATTATCGTAGATGAAGAAAAGCTAGCAAAAAAGTTTAAATAATTAAGACTGAAATTTTCGTAGATGTCATTTATTTTGAGGCTCTAGATTAGCTCAGGCATAACGAGCTGGTTCCTGCACATATATTATTCACTTTAATTTAAGGCTATTAATGGGAGATTTAAGCCCCCGAACTTTGCTGTCAATGTGATGTCTTTTTTACAACACTTCTCTTTAACTTCACTTCTTGTTTGTCTGTTTGTCTGTCTGTCTGCTACAAATCTTGTAATCAAAATTTAACACACTTCTACTTATCCTATCGATCTGAAATTTTGCATACTTGTTTAAAGTTGGAGACAATGCATGAATCAAATGTCAAAAAAAAATTGAAAAAATAATTTTGTCAGCTACAAATCTTATAACTGATATTTGACACACTTTTACCTGTCTAATTGATCTGAAATTTTGCACACTGGTGTGAAATCAGAGGCAATACACGAATCAATTAACAGGATAAATAATTTTGAAAAAAATTTATATATAAAAAATTATATATATTTAAAAAATTGAAAAGGTAATTTTTTTAATTTTCGAAGATTAGATGAGAAATTCATTGTACATATGTAAGATTGGAGATACTGGATTCTTTGGAAGTGTTGTCTTTAAAAAGTAGTTTTTAAACGTATATTATTTCCGTTTTGGTCATGTAAACATGCACATGGCATTGAAACAAAAAAAAACCCTTGATTCGGCATGTTTTTTTTTAGTTTTCTAATCACTTAAAAATGGAAGTTATTAATTCCAGGTGCGATCCAAATCATTTAAAAACCCGATGTATATTCTAAACAAGACCATAAATTCATTAGTTGACATTTGGTCCAAAGGTTTGTTTGACCTGTCCAAACTATGTTCATGAGGACTCGATGCGGTTGTGTGCATTTTGAGAATGCACATTTGTCCCTATTCTCGTGTCCTTGCGTCAAGGACATATACCAAGAACGTTTTCAATTATAAGTGGCCTACTAATGACTGCACTTCAGTCTGTAGTGACAAGTCTTCACTTCTTAATGCTTGGTACTATAAGTACGGTTCAAAAGACTACTGAGTACGGGTGCGCTAATGGTGAGCCGATCATCGGGGGCCAGCCGGTTTGGTCGGCCATCCATACCCTAACAAAATTTAGGGTCGACCCAGCTTCTGGTACTCCAAATCAGAAGCTGACGCGTCTGTAAATTTTCGCTGGGATAAGGCTCTGTGATTTCAAACCGTGAAAGTAATATATCGCTGACTCTCTGCCCGCCTCAGCAAAGCCCATTGAAAACCTGTGAGTGGAAGCTGAAATTTATCGCCGAAAATTTATCATCTAGAACGAGGTTCTTCTGAATTAAGAATAGAATGGCGGAGGTCTAACTCTTTTCTTCTAAGTAGAGAAAAGGCCTATAAATTCCCCATATTATAAACGATTTTTTTCGAGGACCAGCATAGCGGTAGCTAAAAATTAATCAATGGAAGTATAACTAATTGATTCGAGCTAAGCTTGACATTAAAATAAAAGTTGACCATGAAAAAGCTAAGTGACGCAAAAACGTTCTAGCTACAATTTCATCCTCGTAAAAGCTGAATGCATTGGAGATTTTTCGTAAGTGGGAGCCAATTAAAGAGCGTCTTGGTGCTTAACTTCAATTAACAAGAAAATAAGACTATATGCCACCTTTATATATATCGCTTGCATGGCGTGACTTGTTGTGAGGTAAAATATTCGTAATGTAAATCTATTGTATCAACTGTGAAATTGTGAATTGTGAACGAACAGATGCCTACGCTTTTGTTGCATATTTTTTTACAAATAGTTTAAAGGCAATAGTAAAATAGACAAAGCGGTACACAAGCCAAATTTATTTTAAAGGAAGTACTGAACAGCTGATATTAGGCTGAAATTCAGCTAAGATTTTTAATGCATAGATTCTGTTCATTACCCAGAATCAAAGAAATGTTTCCATGATTGTATATATTTCACAGCTGCTAAATTGTATAAAAAGAAAACGATTTGTATCAACTTTTTTTAGATGCCTGATTAAAGGCAATTTTTCATATAATTAACAGTGAGAAATATATACATTGTCGGCTTTATCTGTTCGCTGCATTGAATTGAGGATAATTAATTTAAATATGGTATATTGGTGGTCAATAAATGACGGATTTTCGGGAACTTGGGTGATTTTTCAAGAAATTTCAATGGGAAGCTCAATTGCCCTAGTCAAGTCGAACCTGGCGCTAGATTGCTCAAGCGCGACAAGTTGTTGAAGTTTGATTTGGATTAGCGCCAGCGCTACACGCTGAACTCGACAGATTGATGCTTCGAATAGGCTGGCATAAGCCTGCGGTCTCAATTTTATCTTTCATTTCCTGCTATGTAGATTTTTTACGGATAAATTGCCAAAATTATATTGATCGTGTCACAAATTTGCTATTGAGATGTTCAAAACTAAGAATATTAAATACTAAGTTTATGAAGCGTTACATATTCAATTTAATGCTTTCAATTGAAACTCAAGTAAAAGTTTCACAGGGAAAATGATTAACGCAGAATTTTCATTATCCTGAAGTACAATTATTTGTATAAAGAATTATTTTGACGGAAACTTTGGAATACGAGCACCATATGCAAGGTAATTTGGACCAACTTTTGGGATAAAATTCGGCGCCAGGACATTTGAAAACACATAAACCTTCACAAACTGTAAAAGTTCACCACTTTGAACAGAAGCGACCAATACCAGGCTTAACGTTGCTCCCTAGCTAAATTTGTGAAGAAAAAGGATCGGAGCCGAGAGCAAGCGCAATATACTTCATGAGACGGGCTCAGACAAAAATTATAGAATATATTTTGAAATTAAAACGGCCCTGTATACCAAATAGGGTGATGCATCAAAATTTAGTTCGATATTTTTCGTTACAAAATTTAACTTAAACTGTGGTTTCCATAATACGTGTAATGAAGGGTCATGAGGATGCGTAGAGAATATAAAGAATGAAAAAAATATTTTATCGATACAAAAAAATTATCGATAGAGCAGTTAATAGGTCGATGTAGTTTGCGATACACTATGAAATTTGTGCACTACATTGTAATTTCCACTGGATATAGCATGGCACATCGTTTCAGCTTAGAAATGAAATAAAGCGATGTGGAGGCCAACAGTTCAGGCCGCAAAGTCAGGCAGGACATTAAGCAGTTTATTGTGCGTTTATCCTGGAGCTGCTGTGTTGGTTTTACGGCCAAAGTCCGCTGTAAAGCTTCATTGTAGACATTATCTCATGGTACTAGCACGTAAATAAATTTCCGCCAGGACATTTGTGACCGACTCCCGAAAAAAAGCCTGCCTCTTGAACTCAGGGGTTTCAAGTCCAAAATAAATAAGTTTACCTCTTGAATTCTGCGAAACTTACAACCGGATCTACTTAATTTTCTGGATTCTGCGATTACACACTTGAAGTAAATTTAGCTTTTGAATCTGCCAATAGAGACAATAATTATTACATTAATTAATATTTGACTTTTTTGACGTTGTCGCATCTGGCCTTCACGCTGGAACCGACCACTCATCTGATTTACTGCCTCGCAATTAAATGATCACTGCCAGGCTTAAAAAAAGAACATTCAAGATCAAAAAGGTGTGAATTTATTCACTTAATCGATCGATAATAATATTTTTGTTTCGAGATA